CCGCCCTCTTTGCTCCCAACTTTGATGGAATCAGCCTCCTCCTGCCCACAATTAAATAAGGTCGACTCATGTGTTGAGCATCACATCAGAATCTCTGGGGGGTAGAAGCCAGACATAGGTCTTCTTTTTTCTTTCTAAATCAGGAAATTTAGGGCCAGAGAGATGAAGCCATCTGCCTACGAGAGCATGTCAATGACTGTACCAAGCAAAACAGTCAGCCTTCCCTGCTAATACCACCTTCCAGAGCCCAACATCACTTCTCTGCCAGGTGTTACACTGTGAGAGAATGCTGAGAGCATTTTACAGCTTCCCCTGGGGAGTAGCTTTAATCAGTGGTTCCCAAAGTGTGGTCCACGGATACCTAGGGGGTCCCTAAGGCCCTTTCCAAGGGTCCATAAGGTCGAAACTGTTGTGTCAAGGAACCAAAACACCATTTGTCTTTTTCACATGAATACTGATGGTAAAACTCTTGGTGCCTTAGCATCGATCCAGACATGCTGTAGTTTGTGGTCCCAGACGATGCTAGTTGTTATACAATTCTTTAGCAGTCACAGTTTAAAACAAACCAAAACCCAGAAAACCTTACTTAATAATGTTCTTGACACATCAGTAAAAATGGCTAATTTTATCAAATCTTGACAACTCAGTAAAAACTCTCGTAATTACTGTGAAATGAAATGGGAGGTGTGCTGGCTTTCCTCGAGCCGATGGTCCTCCTGAGGAAAAGAACCTGCGTGACTGTTCAAGTTGTGAGCTAAACTAGCCCCCTTTTTCATGGAGTATAATATTTACTTGAAATAACAATGGACAAACAGTGGTTATTTAGCCTTGGGTACTTGGCAAACATTTCTCAAAAATGAACAATATAGATCTGCCACTTTAACGAAAACTAAGTGTCTGTGTTGTCAATGAAAAAAATCCAAGCTTTTTCAGAAGGTATAAACTTCCAGTTATAAAGTGAATCAGTCTTGGGGATGTGATGCACAGCATGTACAGCATGGTGACTATATACTCTATTGTAGCTCTGAAAGATGCTAAGAGAGTAGATCTTCAAAGTTCTCATCACAAGACAAAAACTTGTAACCGTGTGTGGCGATGGTGGTTAACTAGATTTATTGTGGTGATCATTTCACAACATAGAAAAATATCAAATCATTATGTTGTACACCTGAAACCACTATAATGTGACATGTCAATTTTTTCTCAATTCTTTTAAAATCTAAGTTTTTAAGCTATCATTGCAGTCCTTTTCCCTTTCTTTCTGGGACTCTCATTATGCATATGTTGTAAGCTTGAGGGTGTCCCACAGGTCTCGGAGACGATTCACTTTTCTCCATTCTTTTTTCTCCCTGTTCCTAAGACTGGACAATCTCAATTGATCATCTTCAAGTTCACTGTTTATTGTCTGCTCAAATCTGCTGTTGATACCTCTAGTTAACCTTTTACTTCAGTTATACTTTTTGACTTTAGAATTTCTGTTTGGTTCTTATTTATAATTTCTATGTCTTTATTGAGACATTGTCCCCGTACTTTAATTCTTTAGGTGTGTTTTCTTTTCATTCCTTAAACATACTTAAAATAGCTAATTTAAAATCTTTATCTAGCAAGTTTGGGAACAGTTACTATTGGCCACTTTTTTTTTTTGCCTGTGTATGTATGGACCACACTGTATTCTTTCTTTGTATGTCTCATAATTTTCTTCTGAAAACTGGACATTTTAAACAATAGAATGTAGCAACTCTGGAAATGAGATCCTCTCCGCTTCCCAGGGTTTGGTGGTGTTTGTATGTTTAATGACTTTTTTGAACTAATTCCTTAAAATCAGCATTCTTTACTGTTTGTGGCCACTGAAGTCTCTACTCATTTTGCTTAGTGGTCAGTTAGTGATTGGACAGAGATCTCCTTCGATGCCTGAAAGCAACACATCTCCTAGTTTTTGCTGAGGGGATCTGTGTACATGTTGGACATGCATGCCTTCCACATAGTCAGGCAGTTGACAATTCTGCCTTAGCCTTCACTTCTGCTAGCACAGAGCTTTCAGGTCACTTGGAAGGGAGAACTTAATGTATTTCAGGTCCTTTCTGAACATGCACACAGCCCTGGACATGCTCATAGCCTTACACAGGTGGATGGTCTTCTATATTTCCAGGAATATGCCGGAGCTCTTCAGTGCCCCCTTGGACATTTCACTCCCTAGTGTTCTCTTTTAATTTTTTCAGTTAGCCTACTGATTGTATCAGTTACCCACTGCCTCAGGCAGCCTTGATGTTAAACAATTGCTTCGGAATTGTTTTCTGACAAACACCCACGGGGAAGATGTTCACACCAGCTGAGCTCTGGGTCAGATCACAGGATAGTAATCTTGTAAGTGGGATCTTTCAGCGAAACTCCAGGCAGGTCAGACAAAGACAGTTTCCTGGGACTGGGGCTTTGGAATTGCTCCAACTCTATTTGGCCCTCTCTTGAATAAATGTTCCTCACATTGCCTGTGGTTACTAAAAGTTGATTCAGGCAACTTTTGCCAATGTTCTTCTTCCTTTTATGGAGGAGAAAATTTCCATAAGTCCTTACTCTGCCGTTTTGCTGATGCCCTTGCCCTTCATGCTTCTACCACACAACTTAACACAGAACTGACTTACATCATTATGATAAATTGATATTTCTATTATTCACCTAACTAGAAATTTGAAAAATGTGCATCCTGCATCAGAAATTTGGCACTTTCCCAATATTTAAAAATTATTCTGATAGGAGTAGTAGTAATATTAGTAAATGTGGTTTTAAAAATATTATATAATGAAATGTATTAATAATTGGAAGACCTCATGAACCAAGTTTTTCCAAATGACCAATATGTGATATTACAAAACCATGCATGGGTAAAGGCTGCATGTAAACTATAAACCAGTGGATTTTATGTAACAAGTATGGAAAGTTCATTGATGTGGTTTCAAATTCCACACTGCAAATAATCTTTGAATAGTATCAGAGAAGAATATTGGCCATCATATGGAAAGATTATTAAAATACTCTTTCTTTTTCCATATTTATATCTGTGTAAGGCCAGATTTTCTTCAGATTTTTCAACCAAAACAATATATTGCATCACATTGAATGCAGAAGCAGATACAAAAATCCAGCTGTCTTCAATTAAGCCAGATAGTAAAGATATATCAAAAAAATATAAAGCAATGCCACTTTTATGAAATTTTACTTTGTTCTGGGAAAATAGAGGTATTTTTCATAAAAACATGTTATTTATTCTGATGTGTAATGAGTTTATTTTTTGTTATTTTAAATGAATGTTTTCCATTTTTCTCAGTTTTAATATGGTATATATTGATAGACATAACACCTATAAACAAATGTTCTTTGGGGACCTCAATTATTCTTGAGAGCATAAAGGGGCCTTACTGCTAAAAAGTTTGAGAACTTCTGGTTTAGACCAGTCCAGGAGGTTCAAGCTCAGAAGCTACTCCATTCACTTTAGGTCATGTGGAGCTCTTTTCCTTTAATATGGAATGATTACTTTGGAAAGAACCTAGAGTATTCAAGCAAGACTTTCACAGCAGGCTGGAGGAATGCTGCTGCTTCCTTTAGCCGAAAGGAAAGATACTAAGGAGGGAACTCAATTAATTGTTCAGGGAATTTCTTCTTGGCTGGTTTTGCATTCCTGTCAAATCACTGTGGGCCACACACGTCACTCTGCCAGCATCTTGTAAAGATTCTAAACCTCAACCCTATTCACACCATTTCAGCAGCTACAACTCAAGTCCATTCTCTGGCCTCCCTGACTCTTCCAGATTGTGTCAGACAACTTAGCACAGGACTGACCTACAAGATCCTCTAAGAAAGTCATATTACCTCTCCCAGTGGATTTTCAGTAGTTTAGGGACAGACCCGATGTCTCACGCATCTCCTTGCCTCTTCCTCAGCTCTTAACACATCAGGCAATAGGACAGAACTTGACACAAGTTTGTCTAACACTGAATCTCCTGGGTTAGATGTTTGTACACATTTTACACAGATCAGTCAACAAAGATCTAAGTGTCACCTCTAAGTCAAAGCCAGGCTCCCATCTCCTGCCTTCTGAATATGGTTGTTGACTTCCGTGCTGGATAATACACAGAGTGAGATCAGCAATGTTACAAAGACCATGATGTCAAACAAGATCCATGAGGGTACAAATTACAAAGCGAGTGTAACATGTTTTCATTGGGACTGCAGGGTCTGGGGAGGGATCTAGGGGGAAAGGTCAGCAAAGCAGGTCTCAAGGCTCCAGGGGACTTGTCAATAAAGGGAGGGGCGTGAGAGCAGGGAGAGCGGGCTTGGCATGACCCAGGATTCAATTCCTTACAAAGCTGAACACCTGGCTTGGCTTATGTAAGTCAGGAGGCATGTAGGCAGGGGTTTCCAGCCAGAGGGGCTCACAGGCTGTGGTTTGGATTTAATAGTCATGTTAAATTATAGAGGAAACGGCACCTATTCTTCATAAACATGATCCTAGTATGGTATTATCTTTACAGTCTTCTGGCAAGAACCAGGTCTTCTTTGCATGGCCTTAGAGGATTGTTGCTCATGTGCTTCCTCTCTATGGGGTAGAATATTTCAGTTCCTTGTGTATAACATCCCACTCCAGAAAATAACGCTTTTTCAAATTCCCATAGCATAACCATGGCTTAAAATAAAAGGAGGGAAGAGACTAGAATGTAAAACATGCCCCCATTCCTCTAAGCAATTCTCAGCATTTTCAATTTGGGGCAAGATTGTGGGAAGTCTTAAGGGAAAATGCCATCTATGCAGGATTCTCAGCAGAAGGGGGGCAGATAGAGCTCAGAAGCCTGTTGCCTCAGACCACACACCCCTTTCCAGGGAGACCCTGGATGTCCCTGTGTGTGCAGTCAAAGTCATGTCTGTTTCCTGTGTGTTCCCTGATGTGAGAAATGCGGGCATGCACGTCCAAACGTGGCAAACTTACCTATCTGTTCTCTTCATTCTAGCTGCACCCAAAACGACACTGCCGTTTACCAGATTTCTGCTAAGAACTGTTTTGGGATGATCTGCTGTTCTGCTTCCATTGAAGTCGAGTGCTCGTCAGAGAACACACAACTTGCTCCTAACCTGAAGGAGGATGGGGCCACAGGCTGGAACCGTGACACACAGACCTCTGAGCAGAAAAGCACAAATCAAGTGGACGAGAAAGAGCCTCCTTCTAAGGAAGAAGAGAGTCTCTCCTTGGGGACTCCCATGTCAGCTGATTCCTCCTCCTCCAAATTTAACCCTTTGCCCTCACTCCAGTTACTGGTCAGCAATGACAGGAGCTCATCCAGTTCTGAGAATTCCTTGGATGCTAAAGGAACAAGGCAAACTGAAGAGGCTTGTGATCTGAACAGCACAGAGGAAATTGCAGATGGGTTGCTTTTTCCTAATTCAAGCCATATTCCCTATAAACAGGATGTGTGTTGCCCCGGGACAGTGCTGTCCGAATTATCAAAGTTAACGGACGGTGCGTTAAACAATGATGAAGCCTTAAAGTTAACGGACGGTAAGTTAAACAATGATGAAAACTTACACTCTAGTCATCAAAATCCCAAAGCACAGCAATACATTAGTGTCAGTCTCCCCCCGTCGGAGGCAGCCACACCCGTTTACCCAGGTGACAGGGCGCCTGTCAACGAGCAAATCGGCTCAGAGGTTTCCAGCGACGACTCTGACAGTGACTATGAACTTTGCCCAGAGATAACCCTGACCTGCACCGAGGAGTTTTCAGATGATGACCTGGAGTATCTGGAATGTTCCGATGTTATGACGGACTACTCTAATGCAGTTTGGCAAAGGAACCTGGAGGGGACGGAGCATGTTTTTTTATTAGAAAGCGATGACGAAGAGATGGAATTCCGCAAGTACGGCCTGGGGGAGCATGAGCCTTTGCTCAGTGAAATGGGTTGTGGGCCTCGGGTGTCAGATGACACCGGACCGATGGAGGCCGGCGCTGGCTTCTCTGGTGATCACTCACAATCCCAAGAAGCGAGGGTAAGGCGTCGCCGAGCCTCCACCCACAGTCCCCCATGCCCACAAACAGGGATGACTCTGACTTTGGGATCTCACCAGGATGGGACGTCTGCGGTGACAGACCAGGGGAGATATAAACGACCCGCTGCTTCTGCTGAAAATGATTATCCAGGAATTCAGGGAGAAACCAGAGACAGCCACCCGGCAGGAGGGGAATTCGCCAGTGACAGTCCACTAACCGTGGAGGAAGCAGGGACAGAGAGAGAGGTGCAGTGCTTGTCTGGTGAGTTAGAAACGTCAGGGATGAGCCAGTGTTTGGAGATGGTGGCCGAGGAAAGAGCAGGGGACACGGACTCATGGAGCAAGAGGAGCTCAGAGAAACCTGGCAGGGTGAGGCGACCAGGAATGAAGGGAAAACCCAAGAGGCTGAAGCCCACCCCGAAAGACAGTGCTACGGACGACACCCTTGGTGGCTTCCATCCCGCTGAACCTGCTAGGCACCCACTAACGCAGGGTGAGAGGAAGGAGAGCTCTCCTGCCGCAGCAGAAGCTCCTGATCGGAACTCCCAGTTCTGTCCAGAAGGTGCTGTTCTGACCCAAGCAGAGCAAGAGGCAGAAATGCTGCCCACTCCACCAGGCGCCCTCCCCCAGCAAGGGGGCTTGGACTGGGAGGGAGAAGGGGTGCAGGTTAACAGCCTCCTTGAAACAAGCCGGGCTCCAGACCAGAGTGACCATCCTCAGGTAAGACTCCTCTCTTGAAAACTTACAAGGTAAAAGGTGCTTGTGTGTGCGTGTCTGCCTTCACTTCCCGTTCCCGATTGCTGTACCGCGTACCGCCAGGGTACTTGTGAATGACAGCTGCTGCTGCTAGGAAGGAAATCTGGTTTTGAAAAAAGGCCCAGATAAATCCTAAGCCATCCTAATTATAGCCAAAGACAGATAGAAGTTAAGAGACACTAATGGGATTCTGGACAGCTGGAAAAAGAAACCCGATAGCCCGTCTACTGCATGTGTTTTATCAGGCAATGCCACTATTCAGAAAGTTTTTCAAACAAATGTTTTGGGTGTAGCCCTTAAAGCAAAAACAAAACATTCATTTTAGTCATTCTGGGGGGTGGGGCACTTTGGAAATGGGAAGGGCTGGCTTTAGTCACAATTCATAGTACAAATGGGAGAGTTCAGTGTGCCTGAAGGACTTACAGATTTCACGTGGTGATGCTGGAAAAAGTAGATAAAGTAGGTTTTGCTGTGCTGGGGGGATATTTTGATCAGATGTGTGCTTTATTTTGTTTTGCTTACACCATGAAGGATAAAAGAGTCTAAGAAAATACTGCCACAAAGCGTATTTGTTTTACCCTGTTACTGACTTGGGGGGTGTATTTTAGAGAGATGGAATGAAATTCATGGCGATAATTAATGTACAGATGGTGTGTTTGATAAAGGAATTTATTATATTTTTAATTTTAAAGGGTTCCGATGGGCTTTGAATTGATGCTGTGTGTTGCCAAGGTTTTATTTTATAAATAAATACATAAGATGAGTTATTTATCAATTATTTTTACTGTATCTTGTGTTCACCCTTCCTCCGATTTTGTAGTAGAACCCAGTGTTGTTTTTAGAGAAGACTAGACATACTCCAGAGAAAATAAAATATTCCCAAATGCATTCAAAGTTATTAAACTCTCTGTGAAAAAGTCAAAGTTTAATGCCTTGATCTCTGATGACCCAGTTAGAAAATAACCAACCTAAAAATCTCCAGAGCTGAGGCAGCTTTTTAATGAGCAAACATTTCTGCTCCATGGGCCAAACAGACACATAAAAGCCCCACTTATATGTTACTTTTTGCACGTGAGCCAGATCTATCCTATTTGGTGGTTTAACATGCGCCACCTTGCTGAGTGCATGCCAAAGACCATGGACTCGTGCCCCATATAATTTATGGAAGTGGTTTTGTCAAATACTAACGCAGAATTTGGTCATGGTATTAATTTGTGCCTGTCAATAAATACAGCATTTCCTTTTCTATTCATAAAATGCTCTTCCTGGACCAGCAAAGTGCCTTTTCACAGCAGTTTACCCATATTGAGCTTTTCATTGGGCAGATGAATTATTAAAGGTTGGGGGGAGTGTGAAGTAGCCCAGAAGGAGTCAAATGGAAGGGTGGCAGCTATCGACAGTGTTAGTTTTGGATCCACCACTGTGGGAGGCCATTTCTAGCCCCCTTTGTCATCCGCATCTTGTGTTCTGAACTAAATTTCAAGATTAAGGTGGCCAGCAGGCTCCCTTGTTTACTGGCGATGTGGCTAAGTCCAATGGACCATCTCTGGGACCAAGGTCGTCTGTCTTGTGCACATTCTTGTCTCTATGGACGTTCTTATGGGACCCTTGCTCACACACTCACATGCACTCAAGCATTCATGAATCTACACCCAGCTCACCAGCTATTCACTCAAGGTCCAACCTGTGTTTTGTAGCATGACTTATCCCAGAACTTCTTAAGAAGCCTGCATTCTGCAGTTAGTATGTCCCTTTCTCACTTTGCTCTCCTCAGTCACAGAGCTGACCTCTCACTCAAGGGACAACCAGAAATGTGAATGCAAGTCGTACATTCAAGAGCAGTTCTGTGCAGCCTGAAGTTAGAAACAGATCTCTGTATCTGTGGTATTTATTTCCCCTTGACTAAAGCAAGAACGTTTTGCCAGAGGGTGAGTGAGTACAGATTCTTTTACCCATGCAAAACGTTACTGTCAAATTGCAGGAGATGCCTATGTTTCTTAACGTACATATGCAATAGAGCCAAATTTATAGCAAATGGCTAAATATCCATGTAAATGTGACACAAAAGCATGGGGCGGGGGGGCAGGAGTCACCAGGAACTAAAGCAAACTTTTTATAATGCTGTTCAAGAAGATAAAGATTAGTGAATCTTTTCATATTTAAGTCAAAAGACACTTTAAATATTTATTCTCAGACATTTGAGGCTTGTGGGAACTTAAAATCTTGCAACAATGAAAAATCCCTGGTTGGGGGTAATATTTAGTAAATTTGCCCACTCTTGACTCTTGCCTTACTCACTTACCTTTAGGTGGCTTTTGTAGAGACAGTGACCAGAAGCTTATCTTTTAGTATTTTTCTCTTCATCTGCATATTGCTTTTAGCATGCTGGGAAAAACTCCTTATTTCTAATTCTGCATTATAAACACCAGGCTGTATTGCAGCGTATCTCCTGCCTGTGCATATGCCTTCAGGTGTACTTATTTCCTGTCTTCCTTTCCTGCTTTCACAGTACAGGACCATCTTGTACTGATTTGTCTTGAAATAGTACTTACCCAGGGTAGGATTGGAAGGCCCCCAATTCTTGTGCATTTATGGAAGACGCCTAAGTTAATCCCAGTTTGGGAGTGGAAAACAGAGAGGGTACCCCAGGTTAACTTGAATCATCTTCAAGGATACACAGCCAATTCTTCACCTTGGTTTTGGTCTCCCTTTTCTGATCCAAACTCAGAGGCAAGATATGACAAGCGGCCCGTCTTAAGTTTCCCTGTAGCCATACTGGGGTAAGATCATCCTCACTCTTCAACCAGCTGTGCTATCCATGCCTGTCGGCATGGCTGCCCAGCCTCGCCCCAGAGAGACTTGTGTTTCCCTCTGGGGTCATGAGGTCTCAAGTGTACAGTATGGAAGTGTCTTCTTAGGTTCTGATCGTTAAGAACTTTCTGATCAGAAATAAGCACTAAGCATAGAAAGGGAGCTCCGTGGTGGCAGGGAGTTTGGCCGCTGATAAGTCCCACGTCCTTGGAATAGTGATGGCCACATGGTAGGCGCTCAGTAGTTGAGTCTGTAGCCATATGGACCTAGGTTCAATTTCAGGCATAGTCAGATATAAGTCTATGATGATGGGTCTCAACCATGTTATGGCTTTCATTGGCCTAAGAATACTCCATGGTTCCCTTCGTGTACCAACTTGCCACAAGGAAATTGCTTCTCGTTGCTCTCTTGGTCCCAGAAATGAATGTGCTAGAGTGGCCCATACCTTGTACTTGGGTTCCCTTGTGAATATTGGTGATTCACACACAACCTTGGCCTCATCGCTCTCAATGCTAAGGGTAGATCCAAGGAGATCTCACCGAATCCCCTTAGCCTTCAAGACCTTCCATGATATTCCTTCCATCTACCTCTGAGGGGCAAAGTAGGCACATCCATTGGTTTCCTTGTCTGGAAAACAAGGCATTTTCTCAGACCTGTGGCGTGTTTTCCATCTTCTTGTCCAAAATGCCCTCACTTGGCTTGTTGCTAGCTCAGCTCTTCTGGTCCTTCAAGGCCCAGGTCCTGTAGGGGTGTTCCTTCAGGCTGTGCCTCCTTTGAAGTGCTTTCCTCATCCCTTCCTATGATTTCTCCTCCCAGCACCCCTGGCCGCGTTGTTTGGATAGCGTAGTGAACTCCTGATCTGAGTTTGGTTCCTGCCCTGCTGCTTCCTGACTCTGTGACCCTGGGAAACCACACTTAAGCTCTCTCAGTCCCAGTTTCCTCATCAAAAACAGAAATAAAAATAATAATAATAATAATAATAATAATAATAACAATACCTCATAGAGTGCTGTGAGGATTGAAGTCTCGCACGTAAAATGCTCAGCAGAGTCCCTATTATGCAGTTAACATTTAATAAGTATTAACCTCTTTACTTTATTTATCTTCTTAATATCTCTCTTCTTTCTCCCCATATTAAAGACATACTGAGGGCTGGCTACAAGTGGCTTTATATCTGCTCTTGATTGAAATTTTTATGAGGTCACGGTACATGCACATGCCTTGTAAGAAATAACACAGAGAGCTCACTGTACACTTTTCCTGGGTTCCCCGGTTGGTAACATTGTGCCAAGCTGTGGTATATCTCCAGGATATTGACAATGATAGCATCTGCCAATTATCCAGGTCTTCCCAGTTTAATGTGCATTAAATCTCTGCAAACGCATCACCTGTGTAGGGTCATGTGCTAACTGCGGTGCGAATCTTCAGTTTAACCCGAGCTCAGCCTAGTAGCTAGGCAGGTGGTGCCAGTACAAGGATTCAGCAGCCTAAACATTGGCATGGCCAGGTACCCAGTGACAGGCAGGGCACATAGTTGGTCTCCAGCAAAAATTTCTTTAAACACAGAAAAATATAAGCAGGTAATCTAAACCTTCTTGCAATAGTGTTTTCATATCTGGGATAGCAAAACCTAAGATCTGGGATTCATTTGCATAATAATATGTGTCTCCCCCCACCCCCTGCCGTCCCCCCTAATAACAACTGTTAAAACTGACTCCAGGAGCCGGCTCTTTACTGGCGACGGGAAGGGCAGAGGTTTCTAAGTGCTCATCTCTCAGCACCTGGCAGTTGCGCCTCTTGTCACACCCCTCCATGGCTGACCCAGGGAGTAGTACAAACATTTGTTTTCAATCACAAGGCCCAAGTGCCACCCCTGCCAAATGCCATTACTGCCCTGGACCTGAAAGATCGTTGACTGTCCTGGTTCACTGCAGTAATTGTACCCAATCTGTGCTCAATAGTCAATGGGAAGCCATTAGCTCCACAGCCTTGCCACTCACAGTGCCGTCCGCAGACCAGCTTGTCAAAATGCAGAATCCAGGCCCTGCTTCAGTCCTGCTGAATCAGGACCTGCATTTTAACCCGATTCCTGAGACGTGCGATGTACATTGAAGTTCCAGAAGCCCTGGTCTAGATACGAGATCTTTCTCAGA